TGTATTTATATTTAGGTTTATATATTTTTTATGCGTTTAAATATCAATACGTTTAGTATACTCAATATTTATCTCGTATCGCCACCAGTAGCCTGCAAATATAAGTTCCGGAAGGAAGCCACGTCCATCGATATTGAAGTATATACTGGTACCTACTGCTTAGACAGATCGTGTGTTACTTCATCGGTCACCATTATACATGGCATACAATACGTATACATTTTGTTTATGTATAACATTAACATTTAACAATGAACAACATCAACGTTATACCTATAATTCAAAGCCGTAACTAGGAGGGCGCGGGGGCACCAGAAATTCTTATAAGTAGAAAAAGAGTTTTTATAATATTAAACAATGTTGGGCCCCCTCCCCCTGACCTAAAATTATACTATTATCTAATCATTTAATTTAATTAATTATCTAATACAGTTGAATATAATTATTATAATTATAATGTAGATATAATTATTGAATAAAGTTATATATATTTTTAATTATAGTTTAAATATAATTATCTAATATAGTTAAATATAATAATTGTAACTATAATATAAAATGTAATTGTTTAATAAATAGTTAAATACAATTTAATTATTTAAGTACTGAACTATACTATTCAATTGTATAACATTATTATTTATTATTAGGCGTAACACGATATACAAGTTATTACTATTATTAGTCATCATGGACAGTCGGACAGATTTTGTAATTCATTTGAAAAAAATTGTATTGCTATTTGTAACGTCCTATTTTTTAAATGAAACAATAATGTAACTCGCTGAAAATAATGTTGGGCAACGTAAATGTAATTTAAATAAAACTCTTTAATGTAATGAGTTAACGAATAATTGTATACTACTTTTCAAATGTAATTTACCCAAAACTGTGTTTAGTGCCTTTAGTTCTTCAATATATGTAATACACATATACCTACTAACCTACTTATTGGATATTTGTTTATTTGCTTACTTGTTGAAACGCCTGTTAAGGCTCAAATACTATGTAACACATAGAATCCGGATTTTTACGCAAAAACATAATTCACAAGCGTATATAGTTTAATGGGAGTAATTGAATCGTTTGAGTTCCTTAACTTGTAAAATAGACGAAAAAGGTTTTTCGCATATTAGTGGATCATTACGATCTTCGACAATATTTCAGAATATCTTAGCCTCGATTTTAGTTTGTGATACGTATTAAAAAATATTTTCGAGTTATTAGTTTAGCTCTAATTTTCTCCCATCTATTCCGCGATATCGTTTAGACGTAAAATGTTAATACTTCACAATTGCATACTATAGTTTAATAATTATATTATAAAGACAAATGCATAACCATGGTTGTAATTATTCCATATTGGTTTTTAATAGGAATATAAATTAACGATATTATCCGCTCAGCACGAAAAATGTTTAATTATAACGCCGATGACGCATGAAACTATTATTTTCAAATTAAAATCTTTAAAATATTAATGTTCATATAGCTTATGTTCTATATAATTGTTAATCTAACTTTTGATTACTGGTTATGTTTATAATTTCAACAAATGTTACCGTAGACAAATGGTGTTTATTTTATTTTGTACATTTCTGCTTGTTTTGAATACAAATGCATAGGTATTATTGCATATAATTTCAACCATTAAGACGTAAAATGCATGTTTTATGTACAAAAATGGTTGTATATTTGTGGTGGTTGGCCAGAGAAGTAATAAGTATGCAATGTATGCAGATAACGCACCGACAGGCTTGTATTAAATATCACTTTCCAATTTTCGAAGTAATTTCCCACCAAAAAAAAAAATCATCTAGGTATCCAAATTTATGAAAAACTTAAGTTGATATGAGTTCAAATTTGATACAATATGTACTACAGTGATTTCTACTCTTCTATGACATCGAGCTGTCTCGAGTAGGTACCCTTCAACTCTTTACTCTATACAGCAGGATAATGGTTTCCCGGGTTTCGTTGTTACGTATCAATGATTTCAGAGGTCGTGAACTCGAACAAAATATGCACTCGTGGACACACAATAATAGTACTAATATTTAAGTCAGTTAGATACCTTTGTATACCTCACATTTATAAATTATGCCTTTGATCGTCGTGATCTGACGATCGACCTGACTGTCCTGACTACAGATTTTTAGTCTTAAAATGAATTAAATAAACGACCGGATAGACCAGACAGGTATCTACTGAAATACGTCTTGAACGTGTCCAAATTATTTTTAAGCCATGTTGTTTTAAAAATGAAAATTTAACAGTCATCTCACTGATGGGGCCTCGAACGAATCAATAATAGACCGTGCGCTCGGTCACCGCAATACCTATAGTCATCACACATGCATTTGTGTGTTTATATGTATTTAGCACCGAGAAAATCCTGTGTGTGTGTGTGTGTGTGTGTGTGTGTGTGTGTGTGTGTGTGTGTGTGTGTGTGTGTGTGTGTCAAGAAGATAACTCAGTCAATAAATGGTGACAAGTTTTTTTATAGTGACTTTTCATTGCTGTATAAATGTACAATAGGACACAGCATAATACACAAAACAATAAATTACAGCAAACACGAGATATGAATAATAATAACTTACGGCCCTTTTGGCAAAACAATTAAAAATGTACTGTACCTATTTAAATATACAGAAATTTAAAAGAATTATGCCCTTCCTGGCAAAACTACTATATAGACATAATATGATATACAACTATTTATAACTATATAAAATAGTTTTTTTTTAAAACAGTAATAATATAATGGACAAACTATTTGAGCACCAGCGTAATAATAAATATGGACCTTTTGGCCCAACAATATGTATATAATATAATAAAATAATAATCCAACTCACAGGTTGTGAAGCGCAGACTGCGGGCCAGCAGCTAGTCCTACCTGTATAAGAATAAATGAAACACACGATAACGAAAAATGCAATAGGATGTTCAAAAAAAAATTGAAAAATAATGTGAAAATCCGTGTTCAATATAATAATAAATAGGGAACGATTCTTCGAGTCGACCCGAAATATATGTGTGGTAACAATATGCGGTGTGACGGTTCGCGTCCACTGCGAGACAATGACTATCGGAGATCTGAATACTATTAATAAAAAAAAAACACACACACTCTTTAAGGCGGTGATTAACGAGCACACAATTTACCTAATATTGACAGCGATTTGCGCACGTACAAAATGTTTGCTGTTTCTTGGTTGACTCCGCTGAGCGATCTGAAGATTTGGGCGGCACGGCAGTGATGTAAATTATTTGCCGGTGGCGGCGGCGGCGGCCGATAACGCGTCGCGCAGCACAATCTACATATTATTATTATTAAAATTGTTATATGACTCACAGCTAACACGAACATAATTATTATTATCGTACAACATTATAAGACAATACAAACATGGAGAAAAATGACGCGTAGTGTGTGCGAGGCATCCGGACGGCCGGCGGTGTGGAGACGAGTGCGGGGAAAATTATTAACAGGCGCCGCCGCTCACTAAACACTCAAGGCCGATACCAAAAAGTACATTTCCCCGGCCCCGGCAGTTTCAAATTTTCCAAAATTTTTCACTCCAATATTCAGCACGTGATTCGCATGTATTTGTGAATTTCCCGGAGAAACCGGTGCCGTACAAACTCCGGAAACGGCAGTATAAGAATGCACGCGAATCACGTGCCGAATATTAGAGTAGAATAATTTGAAAAATTCGAAATTTATAGGGCTGGGGAAGTGTGCGCTACATAGCAAAAGGATCCTATACACTATCCTCACTGGTCCTCGATAGAGCAGACTTAGTTTCCTTATCCTCGGCAGTGGGTACCAAAAGTATCCCTGGACGTTTTTGAACACCTTTTGCTGCCATACACTTTATAGAGGCCCTTATTATTCTTATAGATTTCAATTCAGTCAATTCCATATTCTTGTGCACCCCTACCAAGACATATATTATAGTCACAACCATAGTTTGGATCATACTATAAAAGTTACACAATAATACGATAATTAACTAGCTGTAACAGTGTCGTTCCAGCTATCGTGCATATTCCAATTTTATATAACTATTTAAATACGTAATTTAATTTTTGAACTTTTATCATTAGATGGCTCAGACCGTCATCGCGTTTTAGGCATATTATAAACAATATACTATTCATTGCTGCATTGTCCGGCGCAAGGCTGTAGGTACCTAACTGAAAACAAATTTTCGGGGGTCCAAAACTTTTTTGATGCCTACGGATTCTGAACGCTTGTCATTTTCAAGTTAAAAATAAAAAAAATTTGTTCTCTTTTCGGATATTTCTGAGGGGGTCCGGACCTTGTTACCCTGAGTTACCTTGAGAGCCTCGTTAGACGCTTTAAAAATATTTTATTTTCACCCGAAATAGTCAATGTAGTTAATCCACTTGGAACTTTAGCCATTTGTGACTGAAAACACTTTGTGTTGGTACCTATTCGAAATAAATAATTTTTCTAAACATTTGTAAAATATTTATGACATTTCGTTTCTCTCCCCTAGACGCGGCCTCGATCTGCCGTTTACCAATAAAAAATAAAACCCAGACGTGGGCATGATAATCCGCCCGCGGTGGAAGCTATATGTGGCTATGATTTTAATATTATTAATACCGGTAAGCGGGTAACCAACCCAAAACAACTGGTTCAAACTATTAAATAAACGTTCCTTGAATCTTAAAAATCGTTCGAGTATTTTGTGATTCTATAAGCCTCGCCCATAAACTGCTATAGTAGAATAAAAATTAATACAATACGAAAACAGCTCTAAGATGGGGTACATTTATAGTAGAATAAAAAACGAATTGGGTGCCCAAGTGAAAATGGGCCTTTGACGGGGGTTTATAATATGGTGTGAGCCTGGTGTGATAGCCTACACATTACCTATGTGTGTAATTTTTATTCTAATATTAAATATCATTTATTGCGTAAAAAAATATTCATTGAGTGTAAAAAATAAATATTCATTTACCTGGTTTAGGTGTGAGTAATATGGATGAACCCACTCTGGAATGAAGACTGCGTACTCGGTGTATGCGTGGGTCGATGTGCGTATTGCTTTCGGTATTAATTTACAATACCCTATAATGGTGATAAAATATTATTTTATGTTGTACACGAATAAATATTGTCATAAACGCTGAATCAACACTTGTGTTGGTATGCTATAGGATCAATACGGATATTTAGCAGTGTGGAAAGGTCACCTCAACATTTTTTATCAGTTGATGAGCTACGTTTATTTTTTAATTTATTGTCCTACGTTATAATCAGCTATATCTATATTTGAACTGCGTAGAGTTCAAAGTTTGAAAGAAACAGTGAGTCCTCAGATAACGCTTACAATATGTTTATGATGTATAGTTTGTATTAGATTATTAAATATTTATTCTATAGCATATGCTATATTAATTAGCTATTTTATATATATATATATATATATAAAGAATATAATATCAGCTACTCCTTTAAGCCTAAGTTTGTGATGGAGCGGAGAGTTAACATTCGTATAGAATATTATACAAAAATAAAAGAAAAAATTACTTATCAAATAATATTACATATTTACATTACACTAAGTTAGATTGATGGTAAACAGAACAATAAGTATATTCAAATAATATACATAACAGAATCGACTGATAATGTCATCCATACTTGTAAATAATATTTTAATTAATATACAATTTAAAACTATCAATGAACAAAATATAATAAAAACTAATAACATCAAGAATGCAGACTCTCCCTAAGAAGTTGTTAATATTTTTAATAATCCATGATCAATATTTTTTATATAAATTGGAATTTCAATATATTTGAACTTAAATTTTCTTAGGCTTTTACGAGAGCGCATTTAGATGGAGACTTCAACACATATGATGAATTAATAATTAGATTATATTTTAAATAAGTTCCAAGTTTATTGTTATTTTTTTTTTTTTTTAGGTGGATTTATTTGTCATACATTATGACACCTGGATACGATGCCATAATAATTGAAGGTAACAATAAATATATCGAGAGTGTTTTAAAAATAGTCAGTGAAATGAGAAACACTGAGATTTTCTGTCTCTACAAAATAAGATGAATGTAACAATATATGTTCATACCTGGTGTTCAAAATACCGCAATATTTAAGTTGACTTTTTGAGTAGAAATTAAGTTGAAACGAAAATAAATGAAAGAGAAGTTAAACGTAGGTAACTTGATGAAATTTTGATCGCGACTTGCGAGAGACGTGGACGGTGTGAGCCGGATGAATTGTGGTAAGACACTGCGCTATTGTTTTTATGTAAAGAAGTGATTGTGTCATCCCCACTTAATTTTTGTTACCTCGAGTTAGAATTGATAGTTTGAGACTGATATCATTAATATATGCATTCTCGATGTGCATATTATTTATAAGTTACAGGGCAGCACACAGAAGTTTCTTGAGGAGGAGGAAATGTATTTATCCAGTGGTCATTAACTCATATGCCTTGAATTAAAATGATTATTTTGTATCATCAATTTAGAAAACGTTACCAAAATCGTACTGTTATTTATAACTATATAACATACGCCATACGCCCATGCATATTAGTAAGTTACATTGTTACCTACTCAGATTAAATATTTTTTTTCAAACAAAATTCTAATTTCAAATACATGCAGCATCTAAAGATTATTTTTAAAAAAAAATATTAAATAATTAGTGATAAACTCACTCATACTGTCAGCACACAAATAATGACACACCTAAAGGTAATATAATTTTAATATATCGTAATGTGTACATGTAAATTATGACTACCTTAACATTTTCAAAATGCTTTTCATTGTTCATTGAGAAGTGCGTATACCTATAGTGTTTTTTTGAATTTATAGCGTAGGTACTTATGTCATGTTATAACTTATAAGTTATATAAATTATAACCATAGACCTTCTGTTACTACACAAAAACTGTCGCAGTGATCTGGGCTACCTTTACGACAAAATATACAATTATCTATACATCTATAACTAGTTCGTACCATAAATCGAGTAATCAAAAAGCACCCTCTATGTATTGTTAAGCTTTCCACACACTCATTGTTTTTAGCATAAGGTCAATGGTTTTAACAGCTTAAAAATATTACTATTTGACACTTGTAACCGTGAAAACTATGTAGGTACCTACCGTGCATTTGAATTTAGTTGACCCCGTTGACTAGTTACTTACGGATATTTACGATTGTAAAATTGGTACACTAATAAATAGTGATACCTAGTACTAAATAATAAATATTTAGTACATAATTATAGGTACCTACTGAAATGAGATGGGAATTTAATAGCGCCCTGCCGCGGTAATTTACGCAACAATATCGGTGAAGTCTAAAATTGAAATGGCGAAGCTGTACGTTATCAGATTATTGCATGCGTATTACGTTCTAAAAATGAATTTGAGGGTACATATCAAATATTTGCCCATAATTGTATAAACAAATAGTAAACACATTTAGAATATCTCATGTTTATTTTCTCAGAATCAGAATTTGTAATTATTGCAATTATTGACATTGCAGTTGTAGAGCTCTGCAGTTGTTGGTCCATCAACTGCCAAGTAGGTATCCGCCTAATGGCTAATAGAGCGGTTTTTTTTCTATAATACTATATAGAAACACCTAATCATCTGAACAACAAATTTCATTTAGATTCGAAATCGTAAAAAGTCATGCGGGGGTCATTTACCGTATCACTATCGAATGTCCTACAGGAGATACACCACAGTTGACCGGATAAGTCTTACATGATTATTGATTAGTACTGAGAGGTATCCGATGAAGTATTTGACATAGGTACCTAGTAATTTTGTATGCTGTATAGAGTATAGTCTAGCTGTTCCATGCGTAGTGTAAGCTGTTTTTTTGTTGGGATGGTATTCAGATTGCGTCACAATAAATTGGTGTCGCGTACTATAATATTTTGTTCATCGTATTGTTTCTTTATGTCAAAATATAGGCATGTCTTAAACTTTTATTAGTAAATTGCGCATGATAGACGGCTAGGAATTATAATAGCTTGATATATAGTGGTGTGTTGTTTTTGTATTTTAATGATAATATAATTGTTAAGGAATGTTGTTTGGTTAATACTATTTTAACTGCGCTTGATTTTCTACACTTGGTATACTCATCTTAAATATTTACTTATGTATAGAATATATTATTCATATACCTACTACACTGTCTTTAGATTTGAGGTACAGCAGATTATCTATCAGATGGTAAATACATATTAGCCATTAGGTATTATAATTTTATTTTAATATTGGATTTTTAGTTACTAATAATATACATTGTACACATATAAATGTAACTACAACATTTTTTAAGACTTACAAATACTAATGAAATAGTGTTTTTCTTAAGTATTTTTTGCACTTCACATTTCATTCAAAATTGCAAGTATGCAAAAAAAATGTTGTTAGTCAAACATTTTCAAATCTTATAAAATAATTGTAATACTCATATTATGTAATAAGTAGATTAGAGGACTTCTAATATTTACATATTTGGTGAGATCGTAAAAAAAGGCCAATGAGTTAAAAAATATTTTCCTATTATGACAAATCTAAATCTGTAATTTTACGTTGAATGTGTTTGATACATATTTCTTTTTTTTATAACAATATTCATCAAAACGAATTTCCTTTATTACATAATTTAAATACACCAACAAACTGCAGCATGGTCACCAGGCATCAGCATTCAGCATACAAAAGTAATGCCAGATTAATTAATTAGGACTAAGTTCATCAATCAATGAATTTAATGAATTATTTCTTAATTTATAAGAATAAAAGATAGTTTAATTAAGATAAAAAAATATTTTTTTTTATTTGATAATGGAATGAAATATACATAAATTAGTTAATTTTATTTTCTTATTGTAAATGCGACCTATTTATTTTAGTGATCAAACTATTAAAAAAATGTAAGTGAACATTTTTAGAGCAGTCATACTCAACATGAAAATTGAAAAAAAAAACATTGAATACCTACATATTATACTATAAAAAAAGAAATTATTTTTTGAGAACATAATTACTCATTTGTGAATTTAAATATAATGAAAATAAATAAAAAATTCAACAACAATTAAATTTTATAAAAATTGTATATTTTAGTTAGGTAATGAATTAATACTTAAAAAATACATTCTAGAAATGCATTAACAGTATTAGAATATAACATTTTGTATGTACGATGTATCCACTATGGTAACAGTACAACTATTACATACTATCTAGCCATAGTAGTACATAGTCATGATAATAAATAACACAATTAAATAAACAATATTAATAGCAATATGTAAAAAGAAAAAATGCATATAATAACTATAAAGTATTAATAATATAATTAAGGTGTATATTAAAAGATATAATATTACCTATTATTACAGAACAAATCAAGACCCATTACCGCAAGGGTACTCTGTAAAGAGGAACGGGCTTAACGAACCCGCGGTCCCTAGTTAACTGAGGTTGCAGCCTGAAGGTCACATAGATGACGTCTCAGGTCAGTAAGGTGTATCAAATCCATACCCTGAAGCAACCTCAACCCTGTTGGGCCCTCCATTAATGGAGGTTGTCGTAGGGCTAACAACCCTACACGGAAAAATACACATTGTTACGATTCAACCAAAATCGCCTCGGATGAAATATGTGGAGCTAAAGGATTTTTCGATAGGAACCTGGAATGTAAGATCGTTGTATAGGGCAGGACATTTGACGACAGTTATATCGAGTNCAAATCAAGACCCATTAATCTAACTATCAAAAATTTTAGTGTTATAATTGCAATGAAAAACAGCACAAAAAGTATTTAATTGCATGGTTTGACAACAATGAACTAGGGACTAAGAAATTAAATTGAATAATTAATTCTGAGCAATTGATATTGTCATTTAATATTTTAAAAGTGGATCTATGATCTAATTAATTCTTCTAACATCAAAATTGTTGTTATTAGCTATTGATAAAAGAGGTGAGTAGCATGTGTTTTTGATGTAAGACACATAAAATCAATAAACCTTTAAAAAATATTCTAAAATGATAATTTAAAAACGAAATACTTTTGAATCTGCAACGCTGCTATACATAATACAGTAATTAATAACCATGCTTTAAGATTCCAGTAAATTGGTTGTTAATTAATTAAGCAAAGAGCAATGCATTTTAATGTTTTTAAATTGTATAACATCTATTAAACAAAAATTGGAAACAAAAAAGAATGAGTGTTTACTTTATGGCAGCTGTTTTATTTGTAATACACACCTCGAGAATACTTGGGGGAAAAATTTAACTGTAGTAAAAGTGTATTTTGAAGAAGCTCATCAGACCAAAATGGAGTTCATGTCTAAGACAAATATCTCCAGAACAATAATTAAAAATACAAATTGTGTTCTGCTGACGAAGAAATTATACAAACATAAATAATTTGTAATGGTGAGGCACTAAGAAAATAAGAATCAACTGAAGAAAAAATAGACAAAGCAGCTGAAATGGTGGTAAAATGGTGATCGCCAGTGATGAAGAGGATGATGTAAACATTTTATGATAAAACATAAGCAAACCCGATGTGAATAATGCATCCAGATCTATTGTAGACTTAGCAGGGATGAAATCATGATATTTTTATTTGCAGGGCCAGAACTTATGGGTAGTGCTATTCTCAGTATCATTTAGTACCCATTTTTTTTTAATGTTACCTAGAGGCTGAGTTATTACCTTTTAAGCCTTAGTGGTGGTACAGTTGCACTCATTAAACTTGGCTGCACTAAGTGCATAAAGGGAGAACCACGAGCAGGCTAAAACATAATACCCAATCTGAGGATGAAGAAACAGTCTGAGAAAAGGTTAAAAATATTGAAGAATTTAACACAGCAAATTAATTCAAAAACTAAACTAAATCTCAACATCAATCGCACAACAATTCCAAAAGTGCTTGTCAACCAGAACACTAGTGGCTCCTGCTACCAGAGAGACCACACAAACTACTTTTCTAATGTACATTTTCTCTATACTTCATTTTCAATATTTTGTGGTTGTTCTGTGATATGTTCTGTGTCAACTAATACTTTATTTTCGATATTTTGTGACTGTTCTGTAATTAATTAAGCCAACTGTTCTTCATTTCCAATCGTACTTATTACATCGTCAGGTAAATTTGAAGTGTTTAGACCAATTCTAATTTTGCAGCCAAATAAAGCTTCATATGGAGATATTTTAATACCAGAATGATAAGCTCGGTTTTTCATAAGCTGGATGAATCAAAGTCCTTCGCTCCAGTGTCGGTTTTTTTCATCTTGCATCTATGTTGTCAACATATTTTCAATATCTTGATTTGCACGTTCTACACTACCTTGAGACTGACTGTGCCTCGGTTTGCCATGTACTATTTTTAATTTGGGCCACATGTTTCTTAAATTAGACACTATTTGGTATGAAAATTCTCGTCCATTATCAGACTGCAAAATAGTAGGAGCTGCAAGCAACGTAAAAATATCTATGATATTATAGACTACCTCTTCAGCCGGTTTAAATTCGAGGGGCTTGAGAACAACAAATTTAGTGAGGTGATCCTGGTACACCATAATGAATTTAAATTTTCCATCAGGGTGAGACTGAAAGTCTATTAAATCAACTTGGCATCGGGAATTAAAGTCTGAAGATATTATTGGTTTAACTACCACTCCTTTTTTTGAGCCTTTTTGTTTTTGTTGACATGTTTCAGAAAAATGCAAAAATGTCTCTACATCATTACGTGTTATATTTTTATATTTATTACCAAGTTCTTTGATCATTCGATCACGCCCACCATGTCCTATTGATATATGTGTGGCTTGCAATATATCAAATAGCTCACTGGTTGGCACATAATACAGCACAACATTATCGTCTTTTACAGGAAATATAAGTTTCGCTTTTCCTTGTACAACCAGCACATCATACCTACGACACCAGAAATAAATAAATTAAAATAAATCTAAATTAAAAATATGGTTGGTTGTATTTTATAATAGTAGTTTAAGCAGGGCTTCAAAGGTGCGAATTTCTATTTACTAAAAAGTATCGAAATACGTCATATAATATGTAGTAAAATCATGAAAATATTTTATTTATTTAAAATGTACAAGTTAATTAATAATAATGATTACTAATGATATACTACTAATGAATACCTAATAATTTATTAACAAATAATTAATTACTTAAATATATAACGAAAAAAAAAAATGAATTCTATTTGAACGTGTAAATTTAAGTATGAAGTCTTTAGACTCTTTTTTCTTACGTCCAGTTTGAAATTCTGAAATAATTTCTATCAATTCTTTATATTTTTCATCAGACAAAAAACTAGTGTTAGTAGCCAAATTTTTACGGTTCTTATGTAGTTTGTTATACAAATTTGACTTCATATTAATCGTATCCATAGTAATGCCACACTGCGACAAGACAGGAAAATTACGATAAAATAATAAAAGTATGTTCAATATAGTTCATCAGAATTATTATTTTTATAGTAGGGTATGAATCTGATGCAATAAAGATTAAGATTCTTATCTTTATTGTGTCAAATCGTCCACATCATACAGCGGCACACGCATTTACGATAAACGATAAGTAAAGTCGTTGGTAAAGCACGGATTCCCAAACCCAATTTTGTTTATTTTGATCATATTTCCTATTTCACTTCTGGCATTATACATAATACCTAGGCAAAGCTTGTATTGTGTATATTTCCTAGTGATTTTTGGCATTTTATACAATGCCTAGCCATTTCGCAAAACACCAGATTATCCATATTGCCGGTAACATATATACCTATTATAGTATTATTAAAATATATATTTCTATAATTGATTGTAATCATTTCCTTTATTGCTTTTACAAATAAGGGGTTCGAGGAGTGCTATGAGAAATAAATTAAGTTGACTCTTGGCTCATTATAAAACCAAACATACTTGCATGGTTAAATGGACTTCAGATAAAAAAACTGAAATTATTGGAAGTGTTCTTACTCAAATATCTTATCAGCACAGTAAGCTTGTAGCAATGAATAGGAACTGTATGAAAATACTAATTGATATATTATTATTGCTAAGTCACCAAGAAATTATTTTTGAGGTCATAAAGCAACAACTAATTCTGTAAACCAAGATTCCTAATACAATATTTTAATTCATTACACTACAGTAGTATATTTTGTACAATAACATGCTATTCGATATGTGTTATGTGTAAACTGCATACAATTAAAAACTTAATAAATTTTAGGACATTTTTAAGAAATATGTGATGTATAGTAAAACATAATCCTGACTTTGCTGTGAAAAAACTAATTATTCAAGCCATAGAAATCACATTGAAACTATTACGATTTGTTCAAAACATGTTAAAGATATTATTGTTCAAGAAATTAAGAATGCTGGTTCATTTAGTATAATGTGTGACAAAGCAAGGTACTTTAATATATAATTTATAAAGCTATTTATTTATTTATTTGTTGTACTGTTAAAAAAATGTTCTTTCTGTTTAAAATGTTATAGATGTTTTAAACAAGAACAGATGTCTTTATGTATAAGATACAGTAAAGAATTTAATGTTATTGAAAGGGTTTTGGGATTAATGGACTGTTCTAATAAACAAGATGCTGAAACATTAACACAATACATTATTGAATATTTAAAAAATTGTGGTATAAATTCACAAACACCAATTGTAGCTCAATCATTTGATGGTGCAAGCGTTATGTCAGAGACGTACAATGGGATACAAGCAAGAGTGAAAGAAAATTATCTGTATGCTATTTATATTCACTGCATGGCCCAGAGTAAACCTAGTGGTTTTGAACATGTGTAAACTTACTAAGGTATACTTTTAAATTTAAACTTAACGGTTCTCTACTAAAATTTGTTTATTTATCTGTAGGAAACAAAGTGTTTTACTTTAGAGGCACTGTATGTGAACTTTTCAAAATCCAGCATTAATAAAAAGTACAATGAAACATTTAGACAAGTTTAGGAATACAAAAATTAGCAATGTGTAAGTTGAGTGACACACGTTGGAATTGTCGGAATCAAAACTATGAAGCTTTAAAAAAGTTTTAAATGAATAGTGTTAGCATTAGAAGAATAAATTAAAAATGAAAGTGATAGAGATGTGAATAAGGGAAAAGGTAATTTTTTGAATTTTAAATTGCCAATTATTTATATTTAGTCTTTAATGGATGTGTCCAAAAAATGTTTTAATTCAGAAATCACAATGGTAAAAAATTTTGTACTTCAAAATATTGTTTCTGATGTGAATATTAACATAGAAAATGTTATAAGAGTTTTGTCAGAAAAAAAAACAATAATCCCTAATTTGCGAATTAAATAATAATAGCAATAACGATACCAATCAGTTCAATAACTTGCAAAAGAAGTTTCAGAGCAATGAGAAAAAAAAGACTTGGCTAAGGACATCGATGTTTCAAAATAGGTTCAGCAATTTTTCTATACTCTATATTAAAAAAGATATGTCCAAAAATATAAATAGCAATGATATTTTGAATATCTTTGCTCATAAAAATAGATATTTGTTATTAAAATAAAATATACGTTATTTAATGTTTTTTTTTTTATACAACTTAAAAATATTTTTATTTTTATTAGTAATATGTTTTACTTGTGCATGGCAAAGCCTCAGCTGGTCACTTTAAATTGGATTATTATGCATCATTTAGATGTGTAGCTGTGTCATTTTCTCATTGATTGTAAACTAGTATGTTACATACATGGCTAGACTCTGGCGGTTTTTATATTGATGTAGAAATTCCTGAAGTAAAACAAAGATAATCAAACTTATGTTAATAAATTTATAAAAAAAAAAAGAATGTTTGATGAAATTTTAATTTGCATATTTTCCAATTTCAAGTGCTATTTATAGCACTTATTATGGTGTTCTTAAGTGCATATAAAAGCACTAATAAATTAATTTCCGACTAACTTCCGAGCAAGGTTACCATCATCTTTAATAGAAATGTAATTGATAGTAAATTAGTGATAATCTAATATGGAGTAAGTAAAAATATTACTCCATGCCTAATAATTTCAAAAATATATAACTCAATATAATAGGTAGGTAGATAATAATTAAATAATTTTGAGCCATTAATTTTATATTGTTTAACATTTTTCAGGGGTTCACTAGTTTACAACTTCCTAACCCGCCTCCCAAAATATATGTTACTGATTATCAACATGATATAATAGCTAACCAGTTATATACCTTACATCATAAATGTTAAAAAGACGCAACTCTGAAACTCTGGCATTTGTTGTTTCCGCCTTACAAGTGAGTAAAATCTCAGATCAAGTGTAGCTTTGTTAGTTTTAAATTAGAGTGAATCAACCTATTAAGAAACTTGATAGTAAGAACATTATCTATGTTGGTATGCTGGTTCAATCTTTAATTTATACTTTTGTATTCAAGCATAACTTGCGTGGACTGCGTATACCTGCATAACTAACCAGGTAATTGAACTGTTGTAAAAAACCAACATACAAACACAGATAATGTTCTTTCCATCAAGTTTCATTGAAGGTCGATTTACTCTAATTATTAAAATAACGATACCTGATCTGCCGAGCTTAAATACTAAATTTGATGTGTTACAAACTTGTAAAACTGAGACAACAAGTGGCAATGTGTTATATCCTCTTAATACAAGTAAAGGTCCAAAAAAAGGAAGGATTAAAACTTAGAAAACTAAGGATTTAGTTAAAATGATGAACTGTAGTACAATAGCACTTTAATATATTTATGTTCCTATTATTCAGAGTACCTATTATACATGCTGCCAATCTATTTATTTTTTTTAAACTATGAGAAAAAAACAGCTAACAAAGTATTGATCTATCAGATATCAATGCATTATGTGCCTATATTACGGCTATGTTCATACTTTATCTCGTATTTTATTCAAAACCAATATGTACCTATTATCTTTAGTTTTATTAAGGTAAAATGTTAGTTACAGCTAATCTGTTCATGTAACAATACTATTAGAAAACAAAAAACTAACAGAACAAAACTCATAACACATTACATAGGTTATGCTTTAAGCATAAATTAAGAACGAATCGGAATATTATTGTTCAATGGTATGTTACACAGAACAAACACCGTCACCATTCACTAATGTTATTAACGTACAAAATGCACGTACATAGGTAGGTGCCCAAGTTAAAACTTATAACAGTATACGATAATAGGTATACATACTAGTACAAATCGCTTGTCAGTCAGTTCTACAATCGATGACGTTCGGCCTCGGTAGAGTAGTCATGTCGTGTGGTTCACATTATTATGTGCGCCAGTTGAACTATATTTCGTTTCACAGAAATCGTCAACAATTGTGAGGAAACGGTTGTCGGAAGACTGGGACGGTACGCAAAAGCTAAGCGACCGACCGACCGACCGACAAACTGATCGTTCTTCGAACGTGCACTGCACGTCGCTTAACGTTTACGAAATGATTTAGCGACATCAGAGTCGAACCTAAAACATATTAAACGCAACGAAATCGCATACGAGACCGGCACACGCCAAAGGCTGGGGCCCTATTCTCGAGATCGATCGACAAGAAGTCGTGTGCGACTAAACTCGATTGATTATGTCGTAGTCGACTGCTAAATGCTATTCTCCAAAAAGCATTCGACTAAACTTAGTCGCATTCGACATTACGTCGACTAAAGTAAGTAGTAATAAGCATTGAACTAAATACATGGAACGCGTGTATTAATCAAAATATGAGCCGGATAGCAAGTCGCCATATGCATTCCGAAGCATGGATGAGATAATGAAATGTGATGATCTCCATGAAAATTGTTAATCATGATTCATGATAATATTATATTCATATTTTCCCGCTTTAATTTAAAAGTTTTATCATGCGAAACGTAATGTTGTTGCTTTCAGTGATATTATGATAATTGCTATTTTTTTTATAATATTATTATCTAATATCTAGACTAGTATAATATATACATTGTCTTCTATTATGATATATTGATACTGATTGATATCACATTATTTTGTAATATTGTAAAATTGTTATAACGATAAACGAATAAACGATCTACTCGTCTATAACTCCACTACTCCACCATTGTCTATTCTTATTTCGTCTCGTCCTTTCGACTTTCGTCTTCGTCACTCGCCTATGCTCGCTCCTCCGTCGATTATTTTAATAACAATTTATAATATTTATAAGGTAGGTAGTATATGATTGTGTACACAATTCTTGTCATAATAAGGCAGTCGATAAATGCGACCCGTTGCCGTTGTATGTTTATGAGTGCGTTATATTATAATATATTAATATATTATTATTATTATTATTCACTGTATTAAATATCGTTTATTAATTTAACTTTCAACTTGTCTGGATTACTTTGTAAATCTATTCCTTTCAACACTAACTGTATGAAATGTGGTCTCTCAGATGAAAAATATTTGTATCCATATTCCATACTAAAAACATACATAATATATGATTACATTTTTTTACTTATTGGCTTTTTGTTTTTAGCAGAATACTAGGATACTGATCGATACTTTTTTTTTATTATAGTTTTTGAAAATGCATGTATAATAAGTAATGTTTTTGATTAAAAGGTTTGTTTTGTCTCTTTTCTGAAATTCTTTCTTATTGTAATGTCAACGAAATTATCATCTCGTCCAACTCAGCAACAGATGCAAGAGCTGGTTGAGTTGTTAAAACTTGACCCTCAACTTGTGTCTGGAAGGCTTACGTCTACTTTCACCCAAAAAGTCGCGCAAAAACGTTGGGAAGCAATTGCAGAAACGCTTAATGCTTTACCCGGCGTCAATAAATGCTGGAATAAATGGCGTGAAGTATGTTTTGTATAAAGTTTATTTATTATTTTAGTAATTTTTTGTATACAAAGTAAAAAAATTATAAGTATTTTACAAATATTGTATTAGAATATTAAACCATGCCTTAAGTACCAGGTAGGTATAAACTTTGATAGTAAAATATATTATAGTTGAAGTGTTGAACATTATATAGACAAACATTTTGGAATATATCTTATGTAGGTACATACTACATACATTTTCATTATTGCTAGAATTCTACAATAGTAGCCATTAGGTAGTAGTTACCATGGTGTATAATTTAGATTGTTGGGTAATATTTTATTTAATACATTTTTTGTATTAACTATTTAGTATTTTTTGAATATTTATGAAATACATGTAGTATAAAAACTGAAACAACACTTTCTTAATATAGTTTAAGTAGGTACAAAAAAATAATTTTAAAGGGGTACTGGAGGTGGACCACCAACTGCATCAATGTTAAATGATGCTGAGGAAAGTGCTCTCCCGCTAATTATGCCAGTTGCAATATCAGGTCATTCTCTGTCATCTGCATCTCATGCAGAATTTTCATTTGAACTTGGTACATTATGGTGTTTCTTTAACTAGTTATTGGAACAATACTTATGTTACATTCAAATCATATAAAATATTTATTTTAAATACTTCTAGAGCAATTAGTTACTGATGAGTTTACGGACATATACGATTTATTGGCAAAAACTCCATCAAGTCCTGATCTTTTCCCTTCCTCTTCTTTCCAAACAAATGAAGCTCCTATTACTTCTGTTGAAAACAGTAAGACTTAAAATTTATATCGTATATAATATCTTCCATTTTTCTTATAATTTTTATAAAAATAAGTTATTATAAAAATTAGAATTTTTAAATTATATCTTATAAGCATAAAATAATCAGACTTTTTGAATTGTTAAAGATCAGTCTGCTTGCAAAATTATTAAGGAAGTTGAGAAAAATGACAACATCCAATCTTTCCCTTGTCCAGTGTTCCCTAAACCTAATCTGTCAATTAATTCCTCATGTCATGGTCCGCAATCTTGTAAGTATCATAAGGTGTATTTTTTTATCCTAAGAATACTTATGCAGTTATTTATTTGTAAAATCTTTTGATTTTCAATAGGTAAGTATCATATTATAGCAATGTATATGGTATACAATACTATTTAGTGAACTTAAATTATTTATATAACAGTGTACTAACAGTATCTTCTGTTCATATCTATTTTTAAAGCAATTTCTAGTAAACGCACATCATCAGCTGCCCGGTTAGATGAAGGTAATGTTATTGCTAACAGGTTGGCAGACTTGGGAGAACGAAAACTGTTGGCCAAACATATTGGGACCAACAACTTAAACTTTTGGCAGAAAAAAATGAATATTTGAAATCTATTAGAGACTCCTTGCTTTCAAACCATAATGAAAAGAGTAATATCATTTTTTTATTTATAATGATTCTTATTCATAACCCTATTAATCTCTATTTTTTTTTACTATATTCATTTCAGTTGAATAATAATATTCAACATAACCATACAGAGGTGCGTTCGAAAACTCAACTCTAGTTAACTCTGTAAAAAAATAGTTACCCAACTGTGTTCGGGAACGCAGAGTTAACTCCGTACTACCGTTCGGTAACGCCGAGTTGTTAGACTCTGGGTTAACTCTTTGACCCCGAAAAAATAGGTAGGTTATTGTAACTCTACTGATAATGATTATTATCTATGCTGATAACGAAAACAATTTTCCCGCTGAATACTGCTGCAGTTGGTCAAGTCATAGATTAGTGTATTATACTATTATAAGAATTAAGAGTGAAGTCAAATCGATTTTAATTAGCTAACACTCAAGTTTTAATTAATATAGTTAGAACTATTGTCTATTACACATATAAAAACGAGGGCCATATTTGCACGAACAATGATCATCACAGTTGAATTCAAAGGACAAGACCATCAA